ACATTTGCAGTGTGTGATCTGTTTAATGTCTATCAGCATAACACAACACTAATCGCCAAGCATCTTCGAGTGACTGTCAGAGAAATGTAAAAAAATTAAGCAGCTGCAATACGCCCAAAATGAGTTATTGTAATTACATTTAATTAGTTTAATTAGTTAATTATTTTGCTTACAGCTGTACAAGAGACTGCAAACATTTGTTAATATCACATTCCCTTTAACAGTATGGGGTGATTCTGCAGTTACACTAAATCATGTGCGCATATGTAGAAAGATTTTAAAAAATGGGCATGAGGAAAGGGGGGATTCTTGGAGGAAGGGGGGAAGGAGGTCGGGGCTGCCTTTCCACAGGCATTTATTCCTCTCTCCTTCACGTTTGATTCTCCTGGGAAAAGCATTAAAGCCCCAAAGGGAAACAACCCCCTTCCCCCATTAAAAGCCAAGGGGTCCCCATCGAGGACTACCGGGGGGAGGGAGGGAAGAGGAGGAGGAGGGGAGGGAGCCGTGGAAACTACATTTGATCATGGGGTGCTCCATTAGAGAGCATTTGTGTAATTAAACCCTTTGAAGGACGGGGGAGGGGGGATCTCAACTCTGACTTTCGCATCTCTTTTCCTTTTCCCTTTCCCTTCACTCTATCTGCCGATCCAATCAACTCTGCATCTCGCTGCCATGTATGTCTGCTTCCCGGGTAAATTAATTGCCCCAAAGTAAAAAATATATCATGAAGATATTGCTACACAGTAAAAGTTTGTCTAGCTTGTTGGAATAATCCATACCTTTTTTAATGACAGACTGGTCCAATAAGTTCATACCGCTGTTATTGGCATCTTCAACTGACTGTGGATATAAAAACATCACTATTCAAATTGACTGGATATTAAAGAATCGCGTACATAAATCATGTCATTCCAAACTGGAGTTTCTGTTATTTCCATTTATATTAATTCACTAGGGGAAGAGGGATTTTTTTTTTTTTTTACTACTATTATTGTTATTATTATTCCCCCAAATCGACAAGGAAATGAAACTCTTACAAATTATATAGTCTTCTAATAAAAAAAATAATAAAAAAGAAAGAGGTGTGAAGCATATGGGGTGCAATACTGGTTTTGTTATCTTATAAACCATAGATATCACACAGACTCCTTTGCATTCGATAAAGCTTTATATTTCTTCCTTTGAAAATCTGGCAATTTGGCAACATCTGCAAGATCTATTGCTTGACATAAATGAACACGATTAAGGACAACTTAAATTCTCCCTCCCCTTTCCTTCCCCCCCCCCTTTTTTTTTTTTTTTTGTTTGTTTGTTTAACCCTGCTACATCTTAATAATTCAAGGGCCATTTACTTTTTATATATAATAGTTTACATTATGGACTTTTAATTAAAGCCTGAGCAATTCGGAGAGCAGCGCAACGCCCACATCATATTAGGGTACAAGCAGAAAGAGATTTACAGCTCCCGAGGTTGTTTCCATGTCCTGGATCAGTGGGGAGGGAGGGGGACCAGGAATATACATAATCAAAAGTATGAGCTATTAAATTGGTTGCCTAGAAAAAGTGTGCCGGTATCTTTTTCAAAGCCATTTCTTTCTTTCTTTTTATTTTTCCCCCTGTTTTTTTCCTTTCTTTCCAGCCCGTTTAGGAGCACACCTGTTATTATGGCATTAACTTCTTTAGCAGGGAAGAGAACAAAGGCGGGCGCAGAGGACAGAGCAAATGTTGGGTTTCATTTCTCAACACGAAAGTGGAATATACAAAAAAATAAAAACCAAAACCAACCCCAAACCCCAAACAAACAAAAATTACCGCTGAATCTGCGGTCGGCGCAGGAGAATCACCTCCCAAAGAGAAGAGGTGTCGTAAGAACAATTTATTGCAGAATTACGACAGGTTCCGTTTTAGGATAAATTCTGGGGTTTCAGAGAGAGGGAGGACCTGGGGGTTTCTCGGTTTTACTATTTTTTTTTCTCATTGTTATTTAGGGTCTGGGTTTTTCCGGATAATTGCATATTTGAGGACTTGTCACTTTTTTTTTTTTTTTTTTTTTTTTCCCCTCGATAAGGAAAACATCTTTACAGCAAAGCAATGATTTTCTTCCCTATTATTTTAACTTTATCTTGGCTACACCGGGAGGCTGAATTTATCCGGATCCAGCCCTTATCTCCGGCTCTCTCTGCTCAGCAGAGACGTTCCAGATGGAAGATGATTTAGGAGAAAATTACATCTCCCCAAAATGTGACGGAACCGTATTTTCTATGAGATCTTGCCTTTCATTTTCCTTGAATCCCCACTCACACGAGCGCCCACAGACACACACAGTGGTTCCTTACGCCGTGTGTTTGTGCATGGCTGTGTCTCTCCCTCATAATCAATATGCTGCTTACCTAAAGGGCACAAAAAATCAAATTGCAAAGTCTCCCCTCCTTTCCCTGAGCAGCTCCCAAAGAGGGATGATGAGCAAATCCTGCAGCCTGCTGGAGTGCATCGTGGTGCACCTCGATGGCACAGAACTGGAGGTAAATATGAAACGCCATCTTTCCTTTTCTCCCCCCTCCCTTATCCCACCTTATCTCTGGAGTCTGTGGTTGCGCACACGCTTTATGTGTGTGCGCGCACTCCGCTCGCTCCATCAGCAACGTGGGTTAGTTGTTGTAGTTAATGAGAAGACTCCTGTCTGATTTTCTATCTAATTACGCCCTCCTGCTGGGTTTTTGTACAGGATATTCGCTCAGCATGCTGGCAGTTAATAGTCACAGAGAGGATCGTAAAGATTTAATTAGGACTGCATGCGGAAACGTGGAAAAACAACTCAGACTTTTAATTACTAGACTTCTTTAGTTAAAAGTGATACCAGGGGTTACTTTATAAGAGACTTGCGTGTTTTGGTGCAACTTAACTTTCCGTGTCTCTAGTTAGTGCGGAGGAGCGCAGACGGCAGTGGGAGCGAGGAGGAGGAGGAGTGGAGGTGTGTGTGCAGAGAGGGGAAAGGTGATGAGTTTTCAGATATACTTCGAAAATCTAGAGAAGATTCCCCTCCCTCCTCTCCTCCAGTAATCTGACAGCGCGGAGCTTCCTGTGTACCACATATATATACATATGTGTATATATATACACCTTAGTCAACAGCTATGGATATATCTGAAAGAAAACCCTAAAAATTGGTCTTTTTGTTTTCCTTTAAAGAGCCTAAAGAATCTGAATTTCCCCCCGTATATTTTCTTTATAATGTCTTTTACTAGTATAACCCTGCTATTGCCTAGCCGGTGTGTGTGTGTGTGTGTGGGGGGGGGAATATCTGGGGGTGCAATGCTGTTTTTCAGAGTCGTTACTAAATGATGCCAATTTGTTTTCAAGAAGTAGGTCTTGGCTTCTCTGTTCCCTGTCCGAGGGCTGTAAATCGCAGATAAAGAATTCCTCTCCAAAAGGGCAGCAATAGCAATACAATACGTCCTGTTTACAATAACAGAGCGCGATCGTGTTACAATCACTTAATTCTACCCCTGGACAATGGCTCACACATGGCCTGGATTTGATGTTTATAAAATAACCACTGTTTCTTTCTGTCACGCACTCTTTTCCTCTCTCTCATTCTCCCTTGTCAGCCCAGCCCGTTCTCACGGCACCTATTTAATCAGACATAAGCTGAAGCAGAGAGACACGTCTTTATCCAACTATATACCTAGATAACGGTTTAACTTTTTTGACTACTAAAATAAGAAAAAAAAAAAAAACAACAAACAAACAAACAAAACACCCCAAAAAACTACCAAGGACCCTTCCTGGAAATTCTGTCTAGCCTTCGTAGATAATGACATCTAAGTAGGAATCCCTGTAGCTAGAACGGATTCCTTGTACCTAAAATAAACCCACCTTAAAAACCAGGGTGGAAAACTGCCCAACTTCATCTGTCATTAGTGGGGGGACAAGAATAGAAAATGCTGAACTGTAGGAGCGAGCACTGGGCTGCTTTCCCTCCTGCCTGTGCTAACTTGTAGTTGGACACTTCTTCCTTCACATGTTTCTCCTTGGGATACCCTCCTCTCCCTCTTCCCCTCCTCCCCCAGCCTGAGACCAAACTTTGAAGAAATAAAGGGCCTGTTTCATTTCCCGGATTCCTTGTACCTAAAATAAACCCACCTTAAAAACCAGGGTGGAAAACTGCCCAACTTCATCTGTCATTAGTGGGGGGACAAGAATAGAAAATGCTGAACTGTAGGAGCGAGCACTGGGCTGCTTTCCCTCCTGCCTGTGCTAACTTGTAGTTGGACACTTCTTCCTTCACATGTTTCTCCTTGGGATCCCCTCCTCTCCCTCTTCCCCTCCTCCCCCAGCCTGAGACCAGACTTTGAGAAATAAAGGGCCTGTTTCATTTCCCGCCGCCTCAACACCCCAAAACAAGAACCCCAGCCCTGCTGGCCCACAGCCTTGTTTGCCCCAGTCCATCCCCATCCCGTCCCATCCCCATCCCACCCCATCCCCGGTCCCGTCCCGTCCCGCTCGGGAGAGCGGGTGGCGAGTGGCCGCGGGGCGCAGCGCTGCGCTTATAGCCTTGAGGGGCGGAGGGGGGGGCACCTTCCTCGAGTGCTGTGCCCTGCACATCCCGCAGAAGGGGCTTTTTATTGGTAAAGGAAGGGAGAGCAGCTTTATATGATCTGAGCAGGACTTTTCTTTTTTTCTTTCTCTTTCTTTTTTTCTTTCTCTTTCTCTCTTTCTCTCTTTTTCTCTCTTACTCTCTCTTTCGCTTTCTCCCTTTCTCCTTTTCTCTCTCCCCCTTCTTTCCTTCTTTCTGTCTCTCTCCCTCGTCTTCTTTCCTTCTTTCTCTCTCCCCTCTCTTTTTGCCTCCTTTCCCTCTCTTCTTTCTCTTTCTCCCTTTTCTTCTTTTTCTTTCTCTCTCCTTTCGCTCTTTCTCCCTT